TTTAGTGTTGATGGATTATATTGTTTATACAGGGTATAAGTTGTATTCATAATGGATACAGGTTGTTTAGAAATTTTTATTTTTTTTTTAAAAAAAAAACACGTTAAAGCATTTGGCTACCAAATATTTTGGTAGCCAAATACGTAATCAAATGTTTTGGTGACTAATAATTTAGTAGCAAAACATAACCTAAAAAGTTTTGGCGACCAAATAATTAGTAGCTAAAACAATTGAGAATGAGAGAAAGAAACTATTGGCCACTAAATTTTTAGTCACGGAATGCACCTTTTGCCGACTAAATAGTGTTTCGTAGCCAAATGCGTACTTTCGGCGACTAATTATTTTGTAGCTAAAGGTGACACCTTCCCCAACCACAACAACTTAGTAGCCAAAAAGCCTCATTCGGCGACTAAAGTTTTAGTGGCGGAAACATAACATTTTCCGACTAAACATAATTTAGTAGCGAAATGTAGTCACTTTCAACGACCAAACAAAGTTTAGTCGCCAATACTATCGCCGACAGGGTATAGACGACGAGTTTGGCGACAAAATATTTTAGTCGCTAAATCATTTCGGCGACTAAATATTGGACTTTTGACGACTAATTTTTTAGTATCCAAAAGTGACATTTCTTGTAGTGCCAATGTCACACTTTTTTTGCATGGGTTCAAAGTGGAGCACTTTTAGGGGCCATTTCCCAAAATAAGTCAAATTATCAACCTAATTCTCAAACTACGCCTAGTTTTGAAAGAATTTTCAAAATAGGCTAAAACGTGGTTCACAGCCACGGTTTTAACGTTTGTGTGTCTGTCCCGCGTGAAAATTGGGAAATCATAAAAGCGTGTTTCCAAACCACGTTTTTAATTAAAAAAACGTGGTTACAAACCACGCTTTTAATTAAAAAAAAATTCCTTCTGAAAGCGTGGTTCCCACGCTTTTAGCTTAAATTTTTTTTTGTTCTAAAAACGTGGTTATGAACCACGCTTTTACCAAAAAAAAAATTTCTTCTGAAAGCGTGGTTGTGAACCACGCTTTCAATACACAAATGCTGTTGCTGATTTGTGAACCACGCTTGGACCAACTAATAGATAAAGTAAAGTGAACACAGTTGGTCCAATAAATTTATTTCATAAAAAATAAAATAAATTTCTAAAAAATAAATTTCTAAAAATAAAAATAAATTTCTAAAAATTTACCCTACCTTAGTGTTTAGGGATAAAATTTATTTATTTTTATTTTATTAAAATATAAATAAATAAATTTTAAGAATTAAACTCTAAACCCTAAAATAAAAAAAATAAAATTTATTCCTAAACACTAAGGTAGCGTTTGGTAACGTTTACGTTTTTTGTTTATATTTATGAAATTTTTATAAACTGGTTTTTATTTATTTTTAGAAAAACATAAATTACAAACGAGTTTGGTTTGAACAAAATGTTTAAAAAATTTTAAAAACATAAAATAAAAAATATGTTTGTTCAGGCCTAAAATATTGAAAAAATAATTATTCGAAAAAAAAATTTAATTTGGAAAAAAAATATTTCAAAAAATTTAATTGAATAAAAGATTAATTGAAAAAAAAATTAATAGAAAAAAATAATTATATATTTTTTTTAGGTCTAAAATATTTATATATTTTTTTATTATTTATGACATGGGATCACACATATTATAATTGAAAAGAAAATAATTGAAAAAAAAATTAATTTTAAAAAAATATAATTGAAAAAAATAATTATTTGAAAAAAAATTTAATTGGGAAAAAATATTTAAAAAACAATTAATAGAAAAAATTAATAGAAAAAAAATATTGAAAAAAATTATTTGGTCTTAATTTCAAAATTGAAAAAAAATAAGACCAAATAATTGAAATTAAGACCAAATAATTTTTTTCAAATAATTTTTTTTCTATTAATTTTTTTCCCAATTAATCTTTCATTTCAATTAAATTTTTTTGAAATATTTTTTTTCCCAATTAAATTTTTTATCAAATAATTATTTTTCAATATTTTAGGCCTGAACAAACATATTTTTATTTTATGTTTTTAAAAAATTTTAAACATTTTGTTCAAACCAAACGCGTTTGTAATTTATATGTTTTTCTAAAAATAAATAAAAACAGTTTATAAAATTTTCATAAATATAAAAAAAAAAAACATAAATGTTACCAAACGCTACCTTAGTGTTTAGGGATAAATTTTATTTTTTTTCATTTTAGGGTTTAGGGTTTAATTCTTAAAATTTATTTATTTTTATTTTAATAAAATAAAAAATTAAATTTTATCCTAAACACTAAGGTAGCGTAAATTTTTAGAAATTTTATTTTATTTTTAGAAATTTATTTTTAGAAATTTATTTTATTTTTTACGAAATAAATTTATTGGACCAACTGTGTTCACTTTACTTTATCTATTAGTTGGTCCAAGCGATGGTTCACAATCAGCAACACATGTGTATTGAAAGCGTGGTTCACAACCATGCTTTCAGAAAAAAAAAAGAAAGGTAAAAAACATGGTTCACAACCACGTTTTTAGAACAAAAAAAAATTTAAGCTAAAAGCGTGGCACGCTTTCAGAAGGAAAAAAAAAATTAATTAAAAGCGTGGTTTGTAACCACGTTTTTTTAATTAAAAACGTGGTTTGGAAACACGCTTTTACGATTTCCCAATTTCACGCAGGACAGACACACAACGTTAAAAGCGTGGTTGTGAACCACGTTTTAGCCTATTTTGGAATTCTTTCAAAACTAGGCTTAGTTTGGGAATTAGGTTGATAATTTGACTTATTTTGGGAAATAGTCCCAGTTTTAGAACCATTTTTTATTAATAAAAAAGGAAACTTTATGATGAAGAAGCTATATACAAGGGAAGATCATATATCAATAAAGGGGGAAGTGCACTAAGTATCATAATAACCTCAACAATCCCAACTAGATTGGCACTGAAGGGCTAACACAATCATATATGACAGCACTTAACCAAGATTAGAGAGAGACCAATTAAACAGTCAAGAAAAAAAAAGAAAACAATATGGAAAACAAAGCACCACCAAGGTAATAATCCTAATAATTAACATCTGGACAAATAGTCCGTCAGTTGAGTAGCAAATGGTACAATCATTATGGATCATACTCGAGATCAATTCATAAGAACTACCTTATCTTTAACTTAGACCGCTTTAAATGGATTAGCCACCTTTATAGAATTGTACTAAGTAATTTACTTAGATTTAATTGAATAATTTACCGATAATTTATAAAGTAATTACGTAAGACATTTACAGGTAATTCATAATTAATGTTCGAGATAAATTTACAAGTAATTTACTGAGATTAACAAAGTAATTCAATGAAATTTTTTTTGATTATTTTATGATAATTGTACTATGAATTTATATGAGTAATTTATTACAGAATTTTCTTAGAATTTATTAAATAATTTACTGAAAATTTACAGATAATTTTCAAGTAATTTATAGAGAATTTATTGAAACTTAACGAGTAATTTATTGCAGAATTTACTACGAATTTCTGGAGCAATTTGCTGATAATTTACTAAAGAAAATTACTTTGAATTTAGCAAGATTTATAATAGATATTTTTCTGAGAATTTTTTGAGTATCTTGC